GACAAATATTCTGGATGGTGGATAAAATTGACAATGAAAATCAGGGAACGGTTGGGGATTGAACCTGTGGCAGTGAAGTGTTGAAATTCCCTGGCCAGTGCTCTAACCACTTGGCCAGCTGGCTGTAATAGGATTCATCTAACTAGGTATATGTTTCTAGAGCCAGCTGGTCCAGTGGTTGGCGCACTGGCCTGGGAGCTTTAGGACTCCCCTGCCATGGGTTCGAGTCCCACCTGTTTTGTGAATTGTTTTTAATCGTATTACGATTTCGTGAGTCGTGTTAGTGAAAGTTGTGTTAACAGATTTAGACCCAATGTTTCAATATCAGGTTAGCCGGACTAGTCCTGGAGGTGGAAAGTACAGTGCCTGAACTCTGAAAAGGTGATGGGAGGAAGATATGCTGCAGTTTTAGAACTGTAGGGTCAACACGCCTCTGGCAAGTCAGTGGTGGAGTGAATGATGATGAAATCATTATCTTTTTCAGGTCACCCTGCCTCGGTGGCAAACGGACGATGTTTTAATTAAAAATTTACTGTGAAATCCTCAAGATTTAGTCTAGCATGGTTGCTAGCAGTACCATGGTAAAGCACCAGTACTGAGTGTTAGAGGTAGACTACAGTAGTCCTGCTTACCTATGCTAGGCATCCCTTAGGAAAGCACAATGATTTCTTGCTTGTATATTTATCTTAAGTATTTTCTAAAGCTGTTTCATTATCGTGTCTTGGCCAGCACACGTGTGTGTGTGTGTGTGTGTGTGTGTGTGTGTGTGTGTGTGTGTGTGTGTGTGTGTCTGTCTGTCTGTCTGTCTGTCTGTCTGTCTGTCTGTCTGTCTGTGTTTCTGTATCTGTCTGTATGTCTGTGTGTGTGTCTGTGTCAGCGCTCCTCGTGTGAGCACTTATCAACTTCCATCAATGCTTCAGTCTTACCCATGTGTCAGGTTTCTATCATGCTGATAGTTGATGTAGTATACCAGTGGTATAATATATCGACTAGTATATATTAAGCCACAGCTGCCGTTTATGACATTTTATCAATATCTTTCTTCCTCGAGGAATTTGAAAATTGATAATGTTTCTGGTGGGCGAAACATAACAAAATGCCACATATTACGTTATGCTAATATTTTTTCTCGAGGTATATATATATATGTACACACACACCAGTATATATACTATATATATACACTTATACGTTGCGCATGTTTGGTATAAAATATTTGACAGACTGACTTGTACTTGCCTGCTAGTTTTGGGACGCTGGTCAGTAGTTCAGCCCCCCACCCATTATGTGATTAGTTACCTAAACTTGAATACTTGCCTCTTTATACATGTTTTGGTATTATATACCTTGGTTGGGGAGGTGTTGTGATACAGTATGTATCACCATACACATGCACAGTTAAACCCAATAAACTCCACCAGTTCTTTCATGAACGTTCAATATTGAACGTTCCTCCTCCATCTTGTGAGAAATTTATTCCATGAATATTCTATAAGATTTAAATTGTTTATAGATTCCTTAAAGATTGTATATCAACGTCTGAAATTGTTTTTCTAACATACTTGAAACCAGTTTTTAGCTAGAAAATTGTATGTACTTTTTCTTCTAATGTAAAATCCTCTCATTTTATCATTATCGTCATACTGTCAGTATTTAGGGATTGGATAAAATCTTTTGGACACCTGATTTAACTGTCCAATGACTGAATAATCAATTTAAATGTTTTGTCTCAGGTTAGCCCAGTGGTTAACGCGACGGTCTGGAGTTTGGAGACTGATCGCGGGTTCAAACCCTACCCGTGGTATGGTTTAAATGTGGTACATGTGTATACCTGAAGTGGGTTTCAGGGGTCAACGCCCCCACTCTCCCGATCTGTGACCAGGCCTCGTGTGTCAAATGTGTTATCTTCCAGTACGATAATCCACCTGTTCACGCCATGAAGAACATGAAAGTAAAGTCGAACACTTTGATTGGACTCCACAATCGTCGGATCTAAATATTATGGGGTCAATTGGAACAGCAAGTCATGATCCGATTACTTCCACCGTTGTCTTCGGAAGAGTTAGAACGGATTTTGCTTGAGAAATTGTTCCAAATTCTCCTGGATACTGTTCAGATGTTATATGGATCAGTTCCTCGACGAACTGGTGCTGGAAATGGAGGACCAACTCCATATTGAAAAAAAAAAAAAGTTACATGAGGTGTTTATATTTTATCCAACCCATGTACTTTTTCATTATTTTTTTATAGATACTGACCTGTGCAAAGCCGTGAAATTTACATTGTGATCCTTAAGCTGCTTTACAAACCCTCGTTAATATTCTTTCTTGGCTGGAATGTTGTTGTACACAGTATACTGGTTAGGTTAGGTTCGTCAGGAAACAGTACAAGTGTTTCTTGACGTGGGTCTTAGTCAGATGACCTGCCCTTAGAGCTTTTGGTCATCTGACCGAGGCCTTCAGCTGGCTTACCGGTCCACCCTTTAAAAATATGGCCATACTGTGTAGACCTTTTCATACGCAGTTAAATTTCGGATTCTCCTGTCTCAATAGAATTGGCGAACAAAAAATTAGCTTTGTAGAGGAGGTTTAAGAGCTTCTGGCTGTGTACATATTATTTCTGGTGATTGTAGAATGGCATATACAGATCCTTGGAGATACATGGTATAAAATACCGACAAGATGAAAATAATACAAAAATGCAATATAATAAGATTGCTTATTGACTGCGTTTCGCCCACACTTGATAAAGGCCACTGTGTAAGTGAAACGTTGTCGATTAAGGATTGCATTATACTGCATTTGTCTATTTTTCCATATATAGGTCCTTAAATTATAAGTTCATATATATTATATGGGAGCTTAACCCCCATGGTTGTATTTTTGAAGACATTTTTTTCAGTATTTAGAACTTTGACAGATACGAATAATTTTTTTTTTTTGAAAGTCGTGTTCCTCCCCATTCATTGTCTCCCCTTCCAATTAGGGTTTGTTTAATATACAATCCACTTAACATTCCTTCACATTCCCCTTTCCTATTCACAGGCGCTCGTCCTGCCCATTCACAGGCGCTCGTCCTGCCCATTCACAGGCACTCGTCCTGCCCATTCACAGGCACTCGCCTGCCCATTCACAGGCGCTCGTCCTGCCCATTCACAGGCGCTCGTCCTGCCCATTCACAGGCGCTCGTCCTGCCCATTCACAGGCACTCGTCCTGCCTACTCGCAAAGTTGAGGCTCAGTCGAGCCAGGTTCATTAATCTCCCTGGTGTAGCCTGACTCTCTCCCGCCTCCTGGATTCCATCATGCCTTTGCAGTTGATGTTATATTCATGTGTATGTATGTGGGTGGGTGGGTCGGTCGGTCGGTCGGTCAGGTTCTTGGGTGGGTGGTTGATGGTTGGATAGCGGTTGTGGTTCTTCGGCTACAATATTGATATGCATTTCCTGCGGTAGATGCCTCGTGTTTAAATATAGTCGAGTCTGCCACAGTAACCATGTAGTTGCCACAACGCCCTCCTGCCAGTGGTAGCAGCAGGTATCACGTCTACATTCATTCCTTCTATACTACAATACCTAACAATCCAGTATACACTCGGTGGCCACTTTATTACGTACACACTTTTGCTCTAGAGAACAGCCTGAATTCTTGATGTTATGGATTCAAGTAGGTGCTGGAAACATTGCTTAGAGATCCTGGTACACAAATAACCCGCACATAGAAGAGAGGAGCTTACGATGACGTTTAGGTCCGACTAGGACCTGGTACATATTAACATAGCATCACACAGTTGCTGCAGATTTGTCGCCTGTACATTCATGCTTTGAATCTCCCGTTCCACTACATCTCAAAGGTTTACGTCGTATTCTTATTCTACCATCTGCATGTCGCAGCAAAAATTGCGATTAGTCAGACTAGGTGACTCTTTTTCCAATCTTCAAATGTCCCGTTTTGGTGAGCCTGTGCCCACTGGAGGCTTTTTTTTATTATTTTTCAGCTGACAGGAGTGGAGCCCGGTGTGGTCTGCAACTGCTGTAGCTTATTCTCTTAAAGGCTCGACGTGTTGTGCGTTCAGAGATGCTCTTCTGCATACCACTGTTGTAATGGGTGGTTACTTGAGTTCTCTCTTTTCTGTCAGTTTGAACTAGTCTGGCCGTTATCCTCTGAACTCTTTCATTAACCAGGCATTTTCGCCCACAGAAGTGCCGCTCACTGTTTTGTTTTGCATACCATTCCCTGTAAACTCTAGAGACTGTTGTGTGTGAAAATCCCAGGAGATCAGCAGTTTCTAAGAAACTCAAACCATCCAGCCTGGCACAATAATTTATTTCACGGTCAAAATCACTTAGATCACATTTCTTTCGCATTCTAATGTTCAGTTAGAACAACTGAACCTCTTGACCATATCTGCATGCTTTGAGGCAGCGGGGTGCTGCCACGAGATTGGCTGATTAGATATTTGTATGAATGAACAGGTGTACCTAATAAAGTGGCCACGGAATGTATACAGTGACAGGTACACACCTCTGTGTATATACCCCTCGTCAGCATCACTTACCTGAGAAATCTAGATCCAGTTTGTGAATGAGTGGAAGAAACTGAGTGTCGTTGACGCAAACGTTTACAAACAGATTATAAACGCTTGCTTGCTTTCCTCCTCCTCCTCCTCCTCCTGCTGCTGCTGCTGCTGCTGCTGCTGCTGCTGCTGCTGCTGCTGCTGCTTTATTATTATTATTATTCAGTACACTGCATTATTGACAATGTTCTCAATAAAGAATCGCGTTATGCTGGTTCCTTGTGTTTGTATTTAACTGAAGGAGCCTACTATGTAGGCGAAACTTTTAGGAAATTGTGACATCTAAGTGCTGCACGTCTTCTAGTCATCCATGTGTTTTAACCACTTGTCAGCATACATTACCAAGGTTTTACCTCGAGGGCTTAGCGCTTTCCCTTTTAATTAAATTAAAATGTTCTTTAAGATCGTGTCTTGTGCTGCCTACAGGGTGTGTCCTACTGGCTTCGGGTGTTTGCCTGACGTGGGGGACAACCCTAACTACGGCTTCACTAACTTCGACAACTTTCTCTGGTCTATGCTGACTACCTTCCAGCTCATCACCCTCGACTACTGGGAGGATGTCTACAACAAGGTGAGGCACTCGCGGGCACCCACTTTTGAAGTTACATACACACTTTTTTAAACTATCCACACACTTTAGGGCAATCCGAAGCTAAAGTTCTATAATCTGTGACAGTTATGTGCATTTAAAAGTTAGTGTATTCAGTTCAACGATTATATATGTTAATATTTTGTTAGTGTGCCCAACATTAAGTTTGGTTTGACCTGCTCGGTAATGTTTATGCTGTGCTAAACGACGCATGTGCAACATCAAAGTATCTTGTGAACACGTTTCGTTAAGCAGTGATTTTATTAATCCAGTACAGTGACTAAATACTTGACTGTGGAGAACGTGAAGATGTAATTTGAGGTGATCAGTCCCCTCAGTGTTGCACATGTTGTTTATCTTCTTGGCGGTTGTGTTTGCCATCAACATTGTGTTGTGTCGGCAGCGAAGTTAAGGATAAATATTGATACATGTTGCTGTTCAGATCTTGGCTAAAGTTATGAACTTGAAACATGCAAGATGAGGAATCAGACAAAATGTTAAAGTTAGGAATGTGACTCGTGTGCAACACTTGGGTATCTTTAATGAGGAAACGTTTCGCCACACAGTGGCTTCATCAGTCAATACAAAGAAGAATGGTGAAGAACAGAGTTTGAGGTAATCAGTCCCTCAGCCTTGAGTAGATGTGGTCAGTCCATCAATCTTGAAATAAATACAGCATATGTGCGAAGAAGTAGGTTATATACTGTAGGCAGGAGAGGTACAGCAGTCGTAGGTGGTGTCGCATTTGTCCAGTGTGGAAGTAGGTCATGTCCAAGGGTTAGGCAAGTGTGTGGCGAAACGTTTTCTCATTAATGATACCCAAGTGTTGCACATGTCTAATTTATCAACTTGTCGGTTCTCTGAACCATTCATCTACAAAGTTAGGTATGTTAAACCTACCAGAAAGTGGACCAGACTTAAGGTAGCAGTGAACTATAGTATTAACAAGGCAATAATTGTTACAGTTAACATCAATATTAACTTTGAAGAAAGAACAATTAAACATCTAGTTTTTTTTCACGGTTACGCAAACTTGTCCAGTTTTCTTTTTTTTTGGTTTAAGATTTGTCAACTAAGTTTGGAATTCGAAACTTTTAAAACACACTTACGAACCTCCTCTTTTTTGTTCGAAGTTTTGTTGGTGAGTGTTAGTCTCTCTCTCTCTCTCTCTCTCTCTCTCTCTCTCTCTCTCTCTCTCTCTCTCTCTCTCTCTCTCTCTCTCTCCTCTCTCTCTCTCTCTCTCTTTCTCATTTTCTCTCTCTCTCTCTCTCATTTTCTCTCTCTCTCTCTCTTTTTCTCTCTCTTTTTTCTTTCTCTTTCTCTCTTTTTCACACACTACCTTTTTACAGTGTTAAAAGTTCCTATCTTTATTTAGAATTTAAGAGCTGTTACCTACCTCAACTCATTTGAAACATAACATTTCTCTCCTCTCCCCCTCTTATCTCCCCCCTCCCCCCTCACTCTGAATCTCAGCAGACTGAGGATCTTTGACGCCCCACAAACTGATCTGTCTCTCTGGTTGGTACAGGTGATCGCCACGGGAGGGCCACTCCAAGTGGTATTCTTCGCCATAGTTGTCTTCTTCGGCTCCTTCTACCTCATCAACCTGATGTTGGCTGTAGTGGCCATGAGCTACGAGGAGGAGGCGGAGAACACGGAAGAGGTGAGTGAAGAGGAGGAGGAGGAGGGGAGAAAGAAGAATGTAAGTGAATGAAGAAGGGAGAGGAGAAAGGGCAGGAAGAGCTAATGGGGAAGAAAGATGATAGAGGAGATTTAGACTGCAAATGTGAAGTGGATGTGGGAAGGGGGATGGGTGGAGGGAAAACAGGGGGAGGGGAAGAGGTAGAAGAGAATTTAGAAAAAGGTAGAAGAGAAGGTAGAAGAGGAGTAAAATAAACAAAGGTGTTGACTACTGTCCCGTTAAGGTGCCTTGATGCCGTGAAGGGCTCTTGATCCAAGGAACTTGACCTGTTCCCTCCCTGCCCATGGGTCGAATTTCATTGCCTCCCATCCCCCCCCCCAGGTGATGCCTGACATGCAGGTTTAGGGCTTCCCCTGATAATTTAAGCGCAGTGTGATTGCGATAGCACAAGCCATGATAACAAGAAGCTGGTAATGATAACAGCAGTTCAGTCATAACAGTATGATAGCAGTATAGTCATTATAACAGTACAATAACAGTCAGGCGTTAACAGATTAAAAATGATAGCATCAGTTATGTGTTTATTGAATTTTAAACCTGGATATCAGTTGCGTAAATTAAAAAAAAAACTACAAAAATACTATTTTGTGGCGCTAAACCCGTAGGGATCATCAAGGGTTTTCTTCGATCAAGAGCACCTTATCGGTATCAAAGGAGCCGCCTTCAAGGGGGGAAATAAGAGTACAGGATACCTGGGGTATACTTGGAGAGCGTTTCGGGGTCAGCGCCCCCGCGGCCCGGTCTGAGACCAGGACTGAAAAAAATACTAAATGTAAACACGAGGTATTTTATAGTGCTTCACAATTCACCAACATACGAAATTATTCAGTCATCTCGGTCCACAGCAGGATTCGAACCTTCAAACTTGGCATCAGAGTACACTACTTTATCCACAGTGACAGGCCTGGCGTTGTGGATAAAGTATTGTGTACTCTGATGCAGGTTCGAATCCTGCTGTGGACTGAGAGATGATGATTGTGAATAGTTTATTACGAGAGTTTGCGTCCCGGGACCTGAGTGGCCAGGGTCCGAAAGACCAAAACGTTCCCGATAAAATGTTTAGGCGTTTACATTTTCTGGCTCTTCTCCACTCGTGGCGAAACGTTTTCAACATTTTATTGCAGTGTGCATGATTCTGAACACCTGACGTAAATTGCCAATTTATAATGGTTATAATCACATCTGTAGTATTTTTAAATGGGGTGGAGGGGTGAGATAGGGGAAGGCCTCGGTCAGGTGACCAAAAGCTCCAGATGCGGGTCATCATATGACTAAGATCCGCGTCAGGAAACACTTGTGCTGTTTCCTGACGGACCATACCTAACCGACCATACCTAACCTTATGTAACGTGCTTTTGTTGTTACAGGAGAAGACGAAGGATTTGATGGACCACCGTGATGACTCTACCTTCAGTTTCGACCCAGAAAAGCTGACTCACGCTCGATCCCCTCGAGAAGAAGAAACCCAAGAATCGTCGTGTGATCGTGATGCGTCGCGGCGCTGGCATCCTCACCGACAAGTTCTCCAAGAGGAGGAAGAAGAAGGAAGAGGAGAAGAAGGAAGGTAAAGGCCGGGGAAGCGCCTCTTCTTCCTCCGACACCGCCAGGGAGCCTTCAGCGCCGCCGACCACGCCACGGCTGGGGGGGTCGCAGCTGGGGGTGGCTGAGGGACACCAGTTGCTTTCTCGCCCGGCCTCGCTAGTGATCACCCCCCCGCCCAGTGCCTCCCTGGCCCGTGCTCCTTCGCCCCCAGGGCGCTGTCAGGGGCCCCAGGCCGCCCCCGGAGAGGCTGCGGCGACCCGCACCGGCGGCAGTACATCGTCATGTGACCCATGCACCGCTGCGGCGTCCACCCGCTGCTGCACTTGTCACTGCCACACACGGCCAGCAGCAGCAGCAGCAGACGGCAGCCATGCCGGGGCTGGTGGCGCTGAGGGGCGGCTGTGACGACCCAAGGCCGCACCTCCGCCTAGCGAACAACGCCGCCCACCGCCAGCCCTCCCTTGATGACTCTGGTGTTGTGGGTGACCACGACGGTGCTGACAACATCTCCATACACCACCTGCAACACACGGCACAGGTCAGTTCCCTAGGTGCACTCTCCTTAGTATCCCACACACACTCCCACTCTTCGCACATTCCAACTTGGCACGTTCCTCTGGCGCTCAGCAGACGGAGGATCAAGCCTCCACCATGTCTTGCACTGAATGACCCACATGGGTTTAGCGCTTAATTAACATGACTTACAGTCCTCAAGGATACCAATGGCACTAGGATATCACAGCGCTTGAATATCATAACTCAGATATTTTCTGCATGCAGTGTGTTAAACTTTGTAACCTATATCAGTTATTATAATGAGCTTTACAGAGATTTAAGCAACATTACAACAGAAAGGAATACCAGTTTTAAAGTGTATGTGACAGTTGTAAACACTAATTGCTATGTATAAATATACATGGAATTGGCTGTCTGTCAGTGTCGATAATGGTATTAAACCTTTCAGACATTACATAGTACTTTTTGTGTAAGGAGTACGGAGATAATAGCTGGCTACCTCACGGAGGCACAGCACCTTCGTTACCGCCAGGCAACAAATGTCAGAAGTCTTTCCAACACAGAATTGTACTGTTCATTCCATTTGTGAAGCCTCCAGAAGTTGCACAAATTACGTTTTCACAGGGAGAGCCGACACTACAAAGAGATTCAAAGTAATGAGATCATGGGTATATATATCACTGCTGTCACAGGGAGACCAGACACCACAAGGGATTCACAGTAATAAGATCACACGTTCGTCACTGCCGTCACATTAGGATCCGACACCACACGGGATGGGATTTACAGTAATGAGGTCGTGTATCCATCATTCATGCCTCGGGAAGACCTGACTTCGCAGGGGATTCAGAGTTACGTTGCAACCCTCATTACTCACACTGTTGCAGCCATTTAGTCAGACTTACCCTCGATCAATCACAAACTGATATGATTTAAGATAATCACCGTTGATCAAGGCAGAATAGTATCTTCTAAATAACAAAAAAGGCACAATACCGTGACTGGAACGATACACAAATAACCCGCACATAAAAGAGAGAAGCTTACGACGACGTTTCGGTCCGATTTGGATCATTGACAAAGTCACACTAACAAGAGGTGGAGCAGGACGGCTATATATATGCAGGAAGAGGTGGTGGTAGTAGTAGTAGTACAAGAGTTGTATATAATACCGACAAGATGAAATTAAGACACATGCACAACACCCGGGCATCCCCATCATAGATGTTTCGCCATCCAGCCAGCCACTGGCTGGATGTACCTCCTCAAGCTGACACTGTCACCCATTCTGTGTTAGGGAATATGACATGGCAACATAGTTGGCTTTTAGTCCCACTTTATAATCATACACTATCATCATATACCATATATAACCATTATGTACAAGAAAGCAGCACACTGCTGATATATATTGCTAGCTAAAAAAAAATCTTAATTCCGAAGCAGTACTATTGGTAGGCGCAAAAGACAGCAAGTGAGCACTCGCAGGGCGTGAGCACTCGCACATTGTGAGGACTTTGCCTGTATTTGGGTACAAGTTGCTAATTAAGTCAGTAAAGGCCATAAATTTAATTATAATTAGTAAATTATATAAAGCCTGACGGGTCTATTGACCATCAAGTGTTGGTCCAGCGGGAGAGTAAACAATGTTTGCTCTCCATACATCACTGATTTTAATTACGTGTGTTGCTGTGCGTACCCATTTATTTTCCTGTTCCCTCTTTTCTCCTCCTCTCTCTCCCTTTCTCTTTTTCCCTTCTCTTTCTTCCCTCCTTAGCCTTCTCCCCTTCATTCTCTCTCTGTTCTCTCCATTTTCTCTCCTATCCTCCATTTCTGTCCTATCTCCCTCGACTTTCTCCCCTCTGTCCTCTCTTCCTCTTTACTCTCCTCTCCCTTCCCCTCCCTTCCTCCTCTTCCTCTCCACCCTGTGCTACTAATTGTTCTCTTATATTTTACAAGCTTCAACTTTCACTCAATTTATGGCCTGTGCCACAAGTTGTTAGTAATTTGTGCTTAAGTGTGTGTCTGTCTCTGTCTCTCTCTGTCTGTCTCTCTGTCTTTGTCTCTCCCCTCCCCTCCCCTCTCCCTCCCCTCCCCTCCCCTCCCCTCCCTCCCTCCTGCCACCACATCAGCCATCTCTCATATTGACTGACTCTTACACGGGCTAATATCCTTCCTTCACATCGTTCCTCCCCTCGCACCTTCCTCCCCCTCCCTCGCACCTTCCTCCCCCTCCCTCGCACCTTCCTCCCCCTCCTCGCACCTTCCTCCCCCTCCCTCGCACCTTCCTCCCCCTCCCTCGCACCTTCCTCCCCCTCCCTCGCACCTTCCTCCCCCTCCCTCGCACCTTCCTCCCCCTCCCTCGCACCTTCTTCCCCCTCCCTCGCACCTTCTTCCCCCTCCATCGCACCTTCCTCCCCCTCCATCGCACCTTCCTCCCCCTCACTCAGTATCCCCATTTCTTCCTACATCTCTTTTCTGTGTTTTTCCCCATTCCATTTCCTCTTCCACTTTATTCTTGTGTCTTACCAGGCTTACTCTTCCCCTCTCTACTAGTTCAGTCTCTACTTCACACATACGTATAATCCTAAGTTCTCGTTCTCTCTCTCTCTCTCTCTCTCTCTCTCTCTCTCTCTCTCTCTCTCTCTCTCTCTCTCTCTCTCTCTCTCCCTCCCTCTCCCCCTCTCCCCATGCTCTTTTCCCCCTCGTGCTGTCTCCACCTTTCTCCCTCGTTCTCTGGACTGCCGTTCATTCTCTTCCTCATCCCACTTCATCACCTTGTATTCCACGCCCACACGTACTCGACTGTATTTATTGACCCATGTGTAGTTACTGGAATAGTCTTAGCTCCTGGCCTCTCTCAACTTGCCTCTTGCCAGATACTCTCCTAGCCTCGTGGATCGTTTAAACTATGTATGGAGGCTGCCTCCACCACTTCAAGGTCATTCCACTTCCCGAGGTTAAAGAAATACTTCCCAACATCCCTACGGCTCATTTATGTCTTTACCTTTCGTCTGTGCCCCCGTATACCTGTTTGCCCGCGTCTCAGAGCCCATCCCTGTTTACCCTATCAGTTCCTCTATTTTGTATGTTATGTCTCCCCTGATTATGTCTTCCAGTGTCGTTAGATTAAATTTCGTTAGCCTCAGGAACTAGCATTGTTGTATACGTCTACGCTTACCTGGAGGGTGTTGCAGGGGTCAGCGCCCCCGCGGCTCGGTCCATGACCAGGTCTCGCTGCGGATCAACCAGGCTGCTACTGCTGGCCGCACCGCAAACCGACTTAACCACAGTCTAGCTGGTCAGGTACTGACTTGAGGTGCCTATCCAGCTCCCTCTTGCTTCTCAGTTTCTTAAAATGCTGTCTCAGGTGTTCTGTCTGTTATTTTAAATCTCAGAACACGGGCAGACCAGCCCGAAATGGACGTGGGTCGCGCCCACCTGGGTAGGTAATGTTAGTGAAAGGTTGACTTGTATCCTGGCTGGACGACCTCTAGTGCAGACGCTGGCCGGGTCACTGATGATTGTATCTCGCCTCCCCCCCCCCTTCCTATTACCCCCTTCCTTCCTATTACCCCCTTCCTTCCTATTACCCCCTTCCTTCCTATCTCCCCCTTCCTTCCTATCACCCCTTCCTTCCTATCACCCCCTTCCTTCCTATCACCCCCTTCCTTCCTATCACCCCCTCCCTCCCGCAAACCTCCCACACCCCGTGCTTCCTTCTGTCGAGTGGCAGTTCGGTGACATAAGTAAGTACATATACACCCATATACAGTCAAACACGTTTTCTGTGGTCACAACGACGTTTGATGGCAACGTGTGTGTAAATTACCGGAGATATCCCACAAAACTCAATGCCAGTTTAGCAGAGGTTGTTGTAGCTCCGGCTTCCACGCAGTTCCATCTTTCCTATAAAATTCTGTGTGATCTTTCTAGTATGGTATATTTTCTCCTTTTTTTGTGCTGGCAGTGGCCGGAAAAATTTAGAGGGTAGGGAGAGAGCCTTCTGCTTTTCTTTCATTTGACTCTCAAACCTAGGTAATACACGAAAATGTTTAATGTAGGTAATAGTTCTTAGTAGAGCCTGAGTCTGGACTTTTCAAAGTTCTCTGCCCTCTGACTGCTTCTTGTACACCCATGTATGCTATCCATCACCCCTCCCTCCTCCAGATTCCTCACTCCTTCCATCCTTCCTTTCTCCCACCTTCCTTCCTTTCTCCCACCTTCCTTCCTTTCTCCCACCTTCCTTCCTTTCTCCCACCTTCCTTCCTTTCTCCCACCTTCCTTTCTTTCTCCCACCTTCCTTTCTTTCTCCCACCTTCCTTTCTTTCTCCCACCTTCCTTTCTTTCTCCCACCTTCCTTTCTTTCTCCCACCTTCCTTTCTTTCTCCACCTTCCTTTCTTCTCCCCTTCCTTTCTTTCTCCCACCTTCCTTTCTTTCTCCCACCTTCCTTTCTTTCTCCCACCTTCCTTTCTTTCTCCCACCTTCCTTTCTTTTCACCCCCTCTTTCCTTGCCTCCTCCATTTCTCCCTCTCCTTTCTCCCGTCCTTCCCATCCTTCCTCCCCATCCGTCCTTCCTCCCCGTCCTTTGTTCCTCTCCGTCCTTCCTCCCCGTCCTTTGTTCCTCCCCGTCCTTCCTTCCTCCCCGTCCTTCCTTCCTCCCCGTCCTTCCTTCCTCCCCGTCCTTCCTTCCTCCCCATCCTCCCTCCCCATCCTTCCTCCCCATCCTTTCTTCCTCCCCGTCATTCCTTCCTCCCCGTCCTTCCTTCCTCCCCGTCCTTCCTCCCCGTCCGTCCTTCCTCCCCGTCCGTCCTTCCTCCCCGTCCGTCCTTCCTCCCCATCCGTCCTTCCTCCCCGTCCTTCCTCCCCATCCTTCCTTCCTCCCCGTCCGTCCTTCCTCCCCATCCTTCCTTCCTCCCCGTCCGTCCTTCCTCCCCATCCGTCCTTCCTCCCCGTCCTTCCTCCCCGTCCTTCCATCCTTCCTTCCTCCCCGTCCTTCCATCCTTCCTCCCCATCCTTCC